AGTTTGAATAAGTGATTTTTGTGGAAAAACTATTTTATCATTTACTGATAGTTTTATGTATCAAACTTCATAACAAAAGTTAAACAGATTTTAATAAATCAAACTCAATGAAAAAAAAAATGATTTGAAATATAAATTTAATGTTGTTCCGGCATGCACTTCCTTCTGATCTTACAGAAAATCTTTCAATAATGCAGACAAAAGTGAATATAAAACAAAGAACAAAACAGAATGTGAAATTTTCATCACTAATTGTATAGAGAAATTAAAAAAGTTTATATAAACTATTTCTAAACTTAACACATTGTAAGACTATATGTGGTTTTGAAATGAGCAAATAACCAGTATCATCTCATAATGTCATTTTCAAAATTGTGATCACACCAACATATGACCTGAGACTAAAAAAATCTATACATATGATGTATTACTGAAAACAATGAAAAATATTTCATTTTCCCCCCCATATATATTACACTTAACAGGATTTATGAATTCGGTTTCTCTTTTCATTCACCTGCATCATTCTCCTTTTGTAGTTCATTCATCTGTCCCCACGCTTGAGTTCTAAAAAGCAGATATGTAAAAAGTGAAACTAAAAGCTTGAGGGAAAGTTGTTGTTAAAATGTTTTAACAAACATGCTGCAGAGCTCAAAGGATATGTAATTCAGAGAGAAAATACAAACATTTTTCATAGTAATTTTCAACATCATCTTCCAAAGGAACTTTGTTCATATATTACCAATTACTTCTATTAATGGAAAGAGTACCTGAAAGAATGCTTCTTAAAACTATTACTAATCAGGTCAGCTTTACTTATCAATGATAACATGCTATTTGAAATACGTTTATAGGTACATTACAAGCAGATATTTAATCATAAATTGCCTCTCAAGATTTTTCATTATCAAAAAGAAATGCATGCAACTTCATCTACAGATGTACAAGATACAAGGGAATTTTAAGTTTACTGGCCATTTCTAGAAAAGAAATCAAACTTCCTAAATTTAGAGTGAGAAAAAAATTAATTTGTAACAATAGTTTTAGTTGTACTTAATATACATTCACACAATAAGATATAAATTAATGGTCATAAAAAATATTCACAGAAGAACCATGATTTATGTCAGACAAGCCTCATTTTCTTTGTGTCTTGGTAAGGTTAAAACATGTTTATACAAAAATAAGCCCTGAAAACGGTGGCCCATAAGGTTGAGGGGTCCTTGAGGTTCTTCACAAGTTCAAAAAATATAAAATATTTGATACACATTAATGTATTGTTGTAAGTAAAAAATGAAAATATTTTAACTTTCTTCCTCACCTGAAAGTAAAATAAACAATTCTTGTATAAAAGTGAAGAATGGAAAGTTTGATTTTCTGAAAATTTAGCGTTAGAACCAATTGCATTATCCCATATGATCTCAAGATATCCTAACTCTACCTGGAGGTCTAAATATGTAGTACATAAACTTTATTGATTTTACACAAATTGTGAAACAAGTTGTCCAATTTTGGCCCAGCAGGACTGACTCTTGTATCCTTTAAGATGAGGATGATGTCACTGTCTTTCACCAAACCAATAACCCTTGTGTCCTATGTACAGGTTGGTGACCACACAGCCTTCAATACCTTGGTGTGGACCAATGAAGTAGATGAAATGAGGGTAAAGGTGTATGAAGGACAGAAGGCAAGAGTGGACAGGATATTATTTATGATAAAAAATTTACAGAAAAGTTGGTTTCTTTCTCATACACAGTCAACATTTACTGACAATCATACAAAGTTACTATAGATATACACAATGTTAGCTGATAGACAACAATACATCAAGCTTACCTATGTACATTTACTTATTACTTAAGGAATATGTATACCTATAATTGACTTGAAATTTTTACACAGATAACAAAAACGATAAATCTTTATTATGCTAAATGTGTATGACTGGACATCAGACCTCCAATATCAGTGACAAGCAACTGGATATATTGTATTGTAAGTATAACCAATGAACTTTTAAGATTTTTTAATATTTCTTGAGTTTTCCTGACAATGAAATGTATTGGTCACAGACCCATTCCTACCAAGGCTTAGGGAAAATTTTGTTAATTTTGCAAATTAGGAAACATTTTCTTTCCTGAAAATTCTGCAATCTAAAATATTGTGATCTTACCATTAAAATGAGTGCATCATTGATCCTAGGTGAGAGCTTGTTCTTGAATAGAGAGTTCTGATACAGAATAATGAATTCAGGTTTTTGCTATAAATATGTCACTGACTGAGGATTACAAAGTTACACAAAATGACATTCTGTATACATACACCTGAAGATATTCATCAAAGTTCAATAACAATGCATTATAAAACTACAAAAGTGATTACTTATAGAATCGTACAATAATCCGTAATATGATAATTATATAAAAACATTAATCATGTTTACAACAACCTGTAAACACAAACAATGATTAAGACATTTAAAGACTTACAATAAAGAGTACATATCTGGACTATGGATTTTAGAAGTATCAAAAAGGTAAATAAATGATGTAATGAAATGTAAAAATAGAAACAATGGGACATAAATATGATAATTAATGAAGAAAGAAGATTTTCATGATAATCATATGTATTTATAACAATAGCAATACATAACAAAACAATACAGTATTTCAAACCCTATAGTCAGTAATTTAACAAGACTTGATGGCACTACATTCTTGATACAGAAATATTGATTTACCCAATACTAAGTGAATTATAAGACGCAAACAATATCAAGAACAAGGAGAATACTGTATTATAGAAGGCATGATGTCTAGACGGAGAGGCACTGATATAATCCTCTGGGTGATGTGAAACAGAATAATATCATCCGGAGTCTTATATTTAACATCTAATTGTTTTTCTCCCTCACTTTTCAATCATAAAATAAACACAGGCCTTAACGTTCAACTGACTACAAAAACTTTCAGTAGGGAGAAGGCTTATTTTTTCAAATTTTTAGCTCAATAGCACCAGTGGAACCGGAAAAGAAATTTAAAATATGTTTTTCAAGATGGCAGCCATAGCCGCCATCTTGAATTTCAGACATACCTGAAAAATAACAACACTTGGTCAGGATCATCACAGGATCATTTCAGCAAGTTTGAGCTCAATCCCACTGATTGAACTTGAGAAGTTTAAAATATCAAAAGTTTAAGCAAGGTGGACAGAGCACCGCGGAGGACGGACGAAGCACAACAGCTATAGGTCATGGTGACCCTTTGGGTCAGATGACCTAAAAAGTTGTTTTAAGCTGTAAGCATAACACTATTATCAACTGGTGATGAAATATGTGCTGAAGTTGATGATGTCAAAAATTTTAACAAGGTTATGCTATATAATATGATCATTGTGGGAAAGACAGAAGACACAAGAATGCATAAAAGAGTGGGTTATTAGACCATCAACTGCACATTAAAAAATCTCATTTTGTTTCTTTTCTTTTGTTCATATTTTATCAAAAACTAACAAGCTGTAAGGTATCAAAGTGTAGTGTTTTACCAATTAAATTTTACACAATAAGAAAAAAAAAACATTTTCATATATTTGAATACACAGATTTAGAATCATTGATTAACATTTATGGATATATTATATATCTAGACACAAAACAGTCTTACAAGCAATATATATTACATAACTCTGAACATTCACAGTCTAATGAACTAGGGAGTTCAATACAATGATTAAATACTGTACACTTTCAATGTTGAATTTTACACAAATATGAACACAACTGAATTTTAAAAATTAGGACTATGTATTTATTTTTGAGGAAAAGGATTGAGAGAAATGTCTACATTTTTAAAACTTTAAACCAAAAATAACTGAATCTTTTCAACCGTCTACAAATCATTTTCTATATTACTGTTGAAACTATTTCAAGGAGCATTACAATAAATAGTGAATATATATTTTATGTTCAACAAAACACCAATTAAAAACATAGTGTACATTTTTGTGTATACATATAAAATAATGTGTTACATGAGTCAACATGCATACACATATAATTGAAAAAAATCTATAAATTTGAAAAGAATATTCAGACAAGTGCCTGATTGTCCTCCGATGTCATGGTCAGAAACCATCGCATTGAATTTCACCATCTGGAGTTTATTCCAGGTCAGCTGTTATGAAATATGATTATCATAATTAAAAAAAGGCTATGAGGAGATTTCCATAGGATCATTACACTATCATCTTAAACCTGTCATCTTACACTAGCATCTTAAACTATTATCTTACATTATCATCTTAAACCTATCATCTTACACTATCATCTTAAACCTGTCATCTTACACTATCATCTTAAACCTGTCATCTTACACTATCATCTTAAACCTATCATCTTACATTATCATCTTAGACCTGTCATCTTACATTATCATCTTAGACCTGTCATCCTACATTATCATCTTAAACCTGTCATCTTACATTATCATCTTAGACCTGTCATCTTACATTATCATCTTAGACCTGTCATCTTACATTATCATCTTAGACCTGTCATCTTACATTATCATCTTAAACCTGTCATCTTAGACCTGTCATCTTAAACCTGTCATCTTACATTATCATCTTAGACCTGTCATCCTACATTATCATCTTAAACCTGTCATCTTACATTATCATCTTAAACCTGTCATCTTACATTATCATCTTAGACCTGTCATCTTACATTATCATCTTAGACCTGTCATCTTACATTATCATCTTAGACCTGTCATCCTACATTATCATCTTAAACCCATCATCTTAGACCTGTCATCTTAAACCTGTCATCTTACATTATCATCTTAAACCCATGATCTAAGACCTGTCATCTTACATTATCATCTTAAACCTGTCATCTTACATTATCATTTTAAACCTGTCATCTTACATTATCATCTTAGACCTGTCATCCTACATTATCATCTTAAACCCATCATCTTAGACCTGTCATCTTAAACCTGTCATCTTACATTATCATCTTAAACCTGTCATCTTAAACCCATCATCTTAAACCCATCATCTTAGACCTGTCATCTTAAACCTGTCATCTTACATTATCATCTTAAACCTGTCATCTTACATTATCATCTTAAACCCATCATCTTACATTATCATCTTAAACCTGTCATCTTACACTATCATCTTAGACCTGTCATCAAAGATCTGTCCTCTTACACTTTTATCTTAAACCCATCATCTTAAACCCGTCATCTTGCACTATCATCTTAAATCTGTCATCTTAAACTTGTCATCTTACACTATCATCTTAAACCTGTCATCTTACTTTCCTTATCTTAAATCCGTCATTAATCCAATTATATTTAATTGTCTTACGATGTATTGCCGGGTATTGTTCTCCTTCAGATAAGGTATAGAGTAATTAACATTATCAAATGTTTTGGTATGATGTAGAGAATGACAATGATATTAAAACCCAGAACTTGGAAATCAGTTCAGCATGTTTATAGTGGGTTTCATATACATTAAAACAGGTAACATTCCTGTTTATGTAAATTTAAGATTAATTATTCTCCTCCGTTAAATCAACAGGATCCATAAGTTTTTCAGTTTCATCTACTTTTTCAACAAACTGCTCATTGTCATTGTTTACAGTTCCGTTAGTAGCCTCGTTGTCTACTGGGGCGTCTCCATCATGATTCCCATTTGTTGTAACAGGCTGCATAAGCACTTGGTCTCCTTCCGGCATTTTCATTCTCTTGAAGAATCCAAACTGGTCAAAAAATTAGTAATAAGTGTAATTAATTAGCTAGAACTTCATCACTAGTAAGAGATACAGGAAAGACTGTTGTTCTGGTATTTTGCAGGTAGCTTGTTCATTCATGATTTGTACACTTTAAAAAGAATTTTTTGTAGAACCATGCATCTTACCTTCAAGCATCACTGGGTGATGAGAACAATGTGTCTTACCTTCAAGCATCACTGGGTGATGAGAACAATGTATCTTACCTTCAAGCATCACTGAGTGATGAGAACAATGTGTCTTACCTTCAAGCATCACTGAGTGATGAGAACAATGTGTCTTACCTTCAAGCATCACTGAGTGATGAGAACAATGTGTCTTACCTTCAAGCATCACTGAGTGATGAGAACAATGTGTCTTACCTTCAAGCATCACTGGGTGATGAGAACAATGTGTCTTACCTTCAAGCATCACTGGGTGATGAGAACAATATGTCTTACCTTCAAGCATCACTGGGTGATGAGAACAATGTGTCTTACCTTCCTTAAAATCCAGGCAATGGCGACACAGAGAACGATAGCACCAAGGACACTTACGGGGATGATCCACCATGCAATACTCTCGTCTACTGGCTTGTTTGGCAGGACCACGATGGCTGCCTGTGAGCAGAATTATTAAAAACCCTCAGTTGATTATCTATTGTATATTCAGTGTACCCACTCTAATATAAAACCATTCCAACAATATAACCTAGTCCATCAACATCATTCACTAACTTATAGCAATAACTCAAACTGTTATCAAATCACCCAATGTATGTGGTCTAAACAGAAAACATCCACTGTATATCCTATATCACACAGAGTCTGAGTAACACAGAGCTTTTATAACCATACAACATTGATCATTGATCAGACAAAACCATATTAATAAAACAATATGCCTGGTCATTCAATATGAACCTCAGGCCAAAATCAAAGGTAAAAACTCCAGTCTTTTACATATTTGCCGATGAAATATAGAGAAATATCACTTTGATAAAAGATAAATTGATAAAACATTTTTGTTGTTTTTGTTGATAAAAAAAACTTTTGTAGATTTACAGCAATTACAAGAGATAACACAGATCATCTTGTAAAGTGTGGTACGATAAACTACAACACCAGACTGCTGAAGGGGAGGGGGATGTTTACTAGCAACACAACCTTCCATGGTAAACTTTCATTTCAATCGAAGTCAGCAAACAATGCAAATTAGTCACCCTTATGACCTTAACAGATAAGCAATCCCTAACCGAATGTCTTGAAAGTGGAGCTAGAAACTTCAAGGAGATTCATTCATCTACAGCAACAATTGCTACCTTGGTTGCTGCCATAATTTCAGTCACAGGGTAACTTGTCACAGACCATGATTATCAAACTCTCTGAACATTTTACAACAAATTTTGTCTAGTGGTGATATGAATAAGAAACATTTTCTATGTGAAGATAAAAATGGATTTAAACACAAATTTATTTTTGTGTATATATATTTTTACTGATTTAAAAACAATCAGACTAAATTTTGTTGCATACTGCAAAGTTATAATGAGTGAGTAATGTCTGTGAAAAGCATTAAGTCATTTACCCTGGTATGTGCTTTTATTTCTTTCCTAAATATGCCAGTACATTTAATAGATAGAAAATCTAATAACATCTTCAGTCAAATATTTTTGAATAAATACAAAATCATTAGAAACACTTGTAAAATATATTTGTCATTGCTGAAGACACAATTCAATATCCTCTATTTCAAATTTGGTTAAAGCTCCATAAAAAGTAAAAAAACATTAATTTTTGCATTCCCTACTAGCTCCACAATTTGCCTCAGCATATTTATCATGACAATAAAACCTATAAAGTTTGGCATCCCCAATATCAAAATTTCAACCAATCAGAGGCCATCGTTTCCTTAGCAATGATGTCATGGCAATGAAACACATTCCCTATATATCAAATTTGGTCAAAATCAGATAATATATAAATATTCAACGACCAGAGGCCAGGATTGTGTTGTCATAGTAACTGTTTCTGACACAATTAGTTATACCATTTGACCATAGTCAAATTATAAAATCATTTAAATGATCAAGGAGTAATGGCAATTTACAGTAAAATAGGTTTCATTTACTTTTCACCATGGCAACCAAAATTTTATGGAATAAAAAGTTACATGCACAACTACACATGGTCCTTTATATTAATATGAATTTTCATTTGAATTGGTTCACCAATTTAGGAGGAGTTCTTCGGACACTATTTACAGACAACAAGCATCCCAACATACCAACTTTGTCGCAGAGGGTATTATAATAAAAAAATTATGACACATTGTGTTTTTAGTTAGGGAATGTAGACATTTTTTCCATCATTACTGTTCAACACTTTGTAGCTGTAAACCTGACAGAAATGTGATTAAGGAAAATCAACACAACTACCTGTTTTGTTACTCAGACGATCAGACAAACACAACAAGCAATGGACAAGTCCAAAATCCTATTCATTGATCAAACACAGCAGGGTTTCATTAATGACAAGCAGATAAAGGCATAGTCATATAAATGACCTGCCAATCAGATCAAAACATTTTCAATGATCAGCCAATCAGTAGACAGAAGTCTTGTCAGTGACCAGCCAATCAGAGCAAAGCTTTATCAATGATTAGCTTTTGAGAGCGAAGTCTTATCAGTGACCAGCCGATCAGAGCAAGGTTTAATCAGTGACCAGTCAATCAGAGCAAGGTTTAATCAGTGATCAGCCAATGAAAGCAAGGTTTAATCAGTGATCAGCCAATGAAAGCAAGGTTTAATCAGAGCTAAGCTACATCTTATAAAGTATCTGTCATACATCTGGTAGTTTCAGTTATCATTCTGTTACATCAACAATTGTAGTCCTATGTTGAACCAGCAAGCTGAAGCCAGTTTAGATTGTATCAGTTGTTTTACCGTTTGTGTGTTTGCTTCCGCCTCCTGCTCTATCAAAGAGATATCGTCTGGATAATCAATGGTCATTACAGACAAGATCTTCACTTCCTTCAGCTCATCATTAACACTTGCCTGTAAAGTCAGTTGAAAAACTTTTAGTGCTTTTACAGTTTAGAAAGTTACTTCACTGAATATTTTCTATATAACATCTCTTACGTATTTCACATTAGAAACAAAAGTGAACAATGTTACCGTTTAATATTTTTTTTCCTTTACTTTTTTCACTGAAAAATAATTCTGTTTTCTAAACTAAGGCTAGAATGACCTGTTGTTCAATTTAACCAGTTTACAGTACCATGTGCTTTTTTGTGTTTCTATTTTTTCATTTCTAACAATTTTCCTGAAATTAACTTCACTAAATACAAATCAAGTTATACCGATATTTGTGATACAAGTGACCACCTCACATAAAGATACAGACAGAAAGTCTGACCATCTATGGTAGGGGACAACACTACTTACCTTAACCTTATCGAGTGTTTTAGGACTGAGGGTAAAGTTCATTGTTATGGAGACAGCGAATCCAGCAGGTATGGGAACCATGCCACAAGTAAATGAGTCACATTCATCCGTCTGACAATCCTGTGAGGATATCAATAAACAATGCTGAAATCATCATTTGATTTGGCTCACATAGTATGTTGATTCCACTGACTTGACAAGAGATCCCAACAGTGTCTTGATACTCATCAATGTGCTGTATTTATGAAGCAATAACCTATGTCTGGTAATTAGCCTGGTCATTTCTATCACACTTTCTGCAGATATAACAATGAATGTTATATCGTTGTCCAGCAAAAAGTCCACTTTCTGGTTGCAGTAAGACTTAATGTGTAGGCATTCTCCTTTGTTTGAGTCAGGTTTATATGTAGGCCCTCTCCCTTGTCTGAGTCAGACTTTATGTGTAGACCCCTCTCCCTTGTCTGAGTCTGACTTTATGTGTAGGCCCCTCTCCCTTGTCTGTGTCAGGCTTTACGTATAGGCCCTCTCCCTTGTCTGAGTCAGACTTTATGAGTAGGCCCTCTCCCTTGTTTGAGTCAGACTTTATGAGTAGACCCCTCTCCCTTGTCTGAGTCTGACTTTACGTGTAGGCCCTCTCCCTTGTCTGTGTCAGGCTTTACGTATAGGCCCTTCTCCCTTGTCAGAGTAAGACTTTACGTGTAGGTCCTCTCCCTTGTCTGAGTCTGACTTTACGTGTAGGCCCCTCTCCCTAGTTTGAACCAGGCTTTACGTGTAGGTTCTCTCCCTTGTCTGAGTCAGACTTTACGTGTAGGCCCTCTCCCTTGTTTGAACCAGGCTTTATGTGTAGGTCCTCTCCCTTGTCTGAGTCAGACTTAACGTGTAGGCCTTCTCCCTTGTCTGTGTCAGGCTTTACGTATAGGCCCTTCTCCCTTGTCAGAGTAAGACTTTACGTGTAGGTCCTCTCCCTTGTCTGAGTCAGACTTTACGTGTAGGTCCTCTCCCTAGTTTGAACCAGGCTTTACGTGTAGTCCTCTCCCTTGTCTGAGTCAGACTTAACGTGTAGGCCCTCTCCCTTGTCTGTGTCAGGCTTTACGTATAGGCCCTTCTCCCTTGTCGGAGTCAGACTTTACCTGTAGGCCCCTCTCCCTTGTTTGAGTCAGACTTTATGTGTAGGTTCCCCTCTCAAGTTTGATTAAGACTTTATGTGTAGGCTCTCTCCCCTGTTTGAGTCAGACTTTATGTGTAGCCCCTATCCCTTGTTTGAGTCAGACTTTATGTGTAGACCCCTCTCCCTTGTTTGAGTCAGACTTTATGTGTAGCCCCTCTCCCTTGTTTGAGTCAGACTTTATGTGTAGCCCCTATCCCTTGTTTGAGTCAGACTTTATGAGTAGGCCCTCTCCCTAGTTTGAGTCAGACTTTATGTGTAGGCTCTCTCTCCTGTTTGAGTCAGACTTTATGAGTAGCCCCTCTCCCTTGTTTGAGTCAGACTTTATGAGTAGGCCCTCTCCCTAGTTTGAGTCAGACTTTATGTGTAGACCCCTCTCCCTTGTTTGAGTCAGACTTTATGTGTAGGCTCTCTCCCCTGTTTGAGTCAGACTTTATGTGTAGGCTCTCTCCCCTGTTTGAGTCAGACTTTATGTGTAGCCCCTATCCCTTGTTTGAGTCAGACTTTATGTGTAGGCTCTCTCCCCTGTTTGAGTCAGACTTTATGTGTAGCATCCCTCAAGTTTGAGCCAGACTTTATGTGTAAGTCTCTCCCTACTTCAGGTTAGAGCTTATGTGTGAGGTGCCCTGGCTTTATTGTGGGATAAATATACATTTTCATGTTCTTTTTATTGAATCTAGATTTCGTTCTGTTGAAGATCATGGTAGATATTTTGTACATGAATCCTGATAATATCTATCTGTTTTTTTTTTTTAAAGATTTTACTTTCAAAGTGAGAATGTCATTAAAGGTTAAAAAAATATGGCAAGTTTTGTCTTGTTTTTTTTTTTTTACTTCTGATCATTTCTATGATCTTACAAGAGATCCCATAGGAATTCTAACTCCCACCATTGTTTGATCTTTAAGATGGACATTTTTTTCTTCTATCTTTTGATTTTTGCTCTTAACTATATGCAATTTGAAAATTTCTTGAGATCAGCCTCAAATCAGATGGGAACAATTTAAGACCAAGGGAAACATAGATGTAAAATTTAAGAAAGATCCATCCAGTACTTCTAAAGAAATAGGGATGATCATCTCTTATAATCAAAATCCAAGATGGCCACTTGTCTGCCATTTTTGTATTTCTGATCAGTCCCAAAATCAATAAGGCACAATAAGGGACCAAAGGCACCTACACATGAAGTTTGAAAACAATCAATCCATTGAGTGCTTCTCAAGAAATAGTAAACAAGAATTATGTACAGAAGGACAGATCACCAATGTAGAGAAACTTGAAAATCCTACCTTCCTCTCAATGACAATGTGCTAAAAATTGATTAGAAACTATTTTGTTCCTGAATGTCTCAAAGTTCAATATACAATGTTACTAATATAACATATGTCTAATCTAGATGTACATTGTAAAGTTTCCCCCATTTCTTACCTTTTTCACTGCATTGACCTCAAAGTTGAAGAAATCTTGGATGCTGAACTTGTGGCTGACCACGCCCTCTCCATCCTCAGTAGTAACAGCCATGTAGTTCCGAGAGTTATCTCTGTTTACCCAACACCGGACAGAAGTAGTTTCAGAACTTGACACATTCACAACCTAAAGGTAAGATCATCAATGCTAACTTGCATTTTCAAATAAGCATTCTAACGTGATAGAAATACTGTAAAAATATTCTAACGTGATAGAAAACACTATAAAGATTTGCTCATGTGAATATTCAACATCATGTGTCAAAATTTAATGCTTAGTCTATATAATTCCATTTGGCTTTAGGAAACCACATGAAAAATATTTTTAAAAAGGTAAGATACAAGAGAACTTTTTGACAAATTAGAAACAAGATGTTTATATAAATTGATAAAATTACTTTAATAATACAATGTTATTTTAATTCTTAAAACCATTTTCCAAGTGAAATTAAGTTTACAATTTACGTTTGATAATAGTGATTTGTGCTGTTCAAAAAATAAAAATATAACAAATTAGTTAATAACTGTATTCAATGAACTTAAAACACACCTACAATAGATTTGTTAGGCAGATCAATGTGAAATATGAAAAAGAAAATTAACAAAAGGCCAAATAATGTGATATGGCTCTCCTGGGTATTTCTGCAATCATGGTATAAACAAGTTACATATACCCCGATCATGTTGACCGGTAACTTAAACTTAATTTTCCAACTGGAATTTTCACTAACGGAGCAATGGAGAATATTTCTAGAATATTTGACAATTGTATATCTGGTTCCAAAAATGATTTGTTGAAAAACACAAAATTTAACATCCAATTTTTATTTACCCTATTAGACCCTGCCTTCTACTCCCATCAGGACAACTTCCCTTCAACCTTCTTTTCTTAAGAGCAAATGTCAAAATCTCTTTATAAAAAAAGGGAAGGGAAAAGTTTCAAAGATTCACTTTAATCTTTTGTTTTGTGCTCCAAGGCTCCACACTAAGGGAGATACCCTATATTTATACAATACTGGAGTCATTGTACTAAATAACATCTGTTATTAAAATCCACCCCTAGATTAACATGAACATGTAAGAAATGGTGAAGGACAGAGAGACAACATAGACAATCCACTATGGTTTGATGGCGACTACTCCTCTAAACTAGATGAATTAAAAAAAACCACAATTTTGTTAAAAAACTGAAATTACAAATTCATTATACAACATTGTTAATGGTTAAAAAGAGTTCACAATAATCTGTACTAATATTTCTACTCTGTTAACTTGGAAGCATGCAAAAAGCATTACACAGCTATATCTTTTATAAGCATATCATAATAAAATGTTCTTTCAATAATTTGACATGAAATATTTTTCTATTTTTAGATTACCTGAATCTCAGCTACTGGATATATAAGCCATTAAAAGAAAATTGAAATTTGTTCAGAAACTGGACAAACAGTGTTTAAATGGCACTTAGACTGACAACTGTTATATAACTAAGCTAACAAATTGACAATTTTACGAGTTTCGAACCTGGTGTGAAATAGAAATTAATACAACCACTAGAAATTTTTTACATACTGTACAGCCAGTAATTTTCGTGTGTCAAAATTTTCGCTTTTTTCTTTCTGATCTATCAAATTATATTGTGATGTATTAGGATTTTTGTGCTGTGTATGTAAAACAACATCTAGTGCAGACCCGTATAATTATTTTATGGATTAAATTTTCACGATTAAATGAATATACAGCGAAATAGTGAAAATATCCCCACCAAAATAACCAGCTACACAGTAACGCAGATTGTTTTGTTGCTTGATTTATTGGCCCATGAACAGTCTGGGTCATTTTAAGGCCTCCGAGGTGGATATCTCACTAAACAACATACATCATCACTTATGCTAACTAGAACAAGTATAATGATTCATTTTGCTATAAACTGATAAAAGATCTTTTACAAACAAATCTTCGATATCAAAGATTAACTTTATTTTTCTTACAACAATTGTGAAACAAGTGTTCTGTTTATATTAATCACTCTTGTTGGCTCGGATGAAACCCACATTGTCAGATGAAAGGTGAGAGCATTACCACTGCGCCATCCAACCAACCTAGTTGTGCTTGCTTGACCAGTGATATAATATAGTCATAGTTGATATATACAACTGTCTATATTGATCACACTATTCTACTATCTGTGTAGAAGGCACTTTAATATCATTTTCACCAAAAGAAATTCAGTCTTTATATTGTATGGTAATATTGTAATACAGTTGAAACTCGTCTCGAAATCGCTTGAGTTGAAATATTTTTCAAGTCTCTGCAACATCTTTGTAATTTTAATTCGGATGGTTCAAATTTCATGGAGTCGAAAGTTTGGTTGAGTCTAAGCGATTTTTCAGTCCCTCCAATTGTAAAGCATGGGAAAAGTCATCAGTTGTATCGAAATTACATTTTGTCAAAACATTGGCACGTCTTCAGACAAAATTGGTCAATACATACACAGAGTAGAAAGTCACCTGTGCATAACAGATGGCTAATTACTGCGTATCAGGCCATCGTTCACACAACACTTGGTCATTGGCGATTAATTAAGTGTTTAATTATCCAATTAAAGGTTGGCTTCTTAATTAGTGTCACCATTCAGTAGAAAAGACTTACATGTACGTTAAAAAAGTAGTGCGTTTACACGAAACTTGCAAACATTTAGCTTGGTTGTGTGCATCTTCAGGAACAATAAAAACAAAACCGTCAAGCCAGTACGAACTTTTTGATGAAATCAAACCCCTACATCCTCCTTCTGAACGAAACTAATTTTGACCTTGTTATCTAAAGGACTAAGATCGGCCACTTCTATATCTGTCAAGTCTATATCTGTATCAAAGTTTCTGTAATAAGTAAAACCTTTCTAGTGCCGCGTTTTTCACATATTTATTTATTTGTAATAAAGTCATATTGACATCCTTTCTTGTAGCATATCAAAAGCAAATTCTAATTTCGTTTTATGTAATTCCATAAAATATATGATGTATACATGTTTGTTCAGTAATGGTTTGACTATCGTGCACTGTGCTGGAAGGAATGACCTGAGTACAACTGCATTTGATTGGAGTTGTTATTACATATTTTGTTATTTAGATGAATAAACAATAAAAGGAGAAAGCTGAATAAATTCATTTGTTTATCTACTGTCATTTCTAATATCAGATTAAACTACGCTGTTTGTGTGCTATCGTAGCCCTACTTTGTTCAACTGTTATCAACACCAGGAAACTAATATTATCAACCATATTTATTCACTGTCAAAATATGGATAATCAACATATTTTTCACGGTCCCTTGAATTTCGAGATAACGAGTTTTGACTGTATTAAAATTTACTTACTTTGTGATAATTACCAATAGAAGAAAAACAAATTGCTAGAAAATCTAAAAAAAAAAAAATTCTTCAAAATATTGACCAATTGAGATCATACATCAACTATACAGTACAATGTAGTATCAGAATGATAGAAAAAAACAAGATAAAATTGCAAGGAATTTGAATTTGTATTGTGCAAAGGTGTTGGTCTAAAGCATTGTTTGCTCATCAGTCTTTGACAACTGTATAGTGATATGCTGTTTCATATTCAACTTGAGAATATTCCATGGAAGAATAAAGAAATTCTACCGGTGACATTATCTTAAATGTTTATCAATATCATATGTTAAATAAGGCTAACATCACCTAAATCCTATTCTTTTCATTATATTCTGTGGTACATGCACCAGGTATTATCTGTATACTTAATTTAATTTAACCTTCACATGAACATAACAGAGGTCATCCTTTAATATTTCAATGCCTACACTTGGATTTTGATCAACCAATCAAGCTAAAGTGAAGTGATCTGTAGAAGTATATTGCTGCTAGTATTTTACTTGAGTTTCCAGGGGTTACTCTGATGTTCATCAAGCATGGCTAAGTTAACACCAATATAACAGATTTATATTTATATATATTTGTTTCAATGCCTCCACAAGAATTTGAACCCAGGACCTCTGGTTTACTAATCACATACTAAATTGATTAAGTTAAAAAGAAGTTTGCATAAGTCAATTGTTAAATTGTGAGTATTCAGCACTTACTAGGGATACATTAAATGCATGAATGTTTTTTTATATGCGAAAATAACATACAGTTTTAATATATTTTAGTATCAGAATTTTTCCGGCTTATGTTACTGGCACCATCTGTATTATATATAAGTTTCATGTATTATGTAACCCATGTCATTCCTGTTTTTTTCCCTTGGAATTTTTGTTATACAATCCACATAGATAAGGTTTCTCTCTTGTAAGTAAAGCACCGCATTTTTTTTCTTGAGAAGTAAATAGGTATGCTAAAATCAAGGACATATAAAAAAAAAACATTGCACACTTCACTGATTTAACAGCTGATATTTATCTTAAGCTTTGCCTCCGATATACTTAGTCACCAAGTTATTCATAGTTGTTCAAACTTAAAATGTTTTCTCAACTTTAAATTCATAGCGTTTTGTTTTCTGCTACCATTTTCATGTCTAGACACAATTCATATATAGGTTGAATATGCCACTACAATCATCAGTGCAACAGAGGTTAGACAAAGGCAGGGGAGGTCACTACACCAAAGTTACCTTGTCCAGTTGAGTGGTCACCTGTAAAAAATTTCACAGGACAGACATTTTATCTGAATGGACACTGGTTTACTTACCTGTATATTCAGTGAGAGAATATATCTATTTCATAATAGAAAAAACTCTACTTATATGTCATTACCGAAATACTTGTCTCATATCAATCACTGATAGATCTTAAAGGGATATTCTGCACAAGTTGCTAAATTTCTGACTGTTCTCTATCCTTCAAGAACTCATTCTTATGACATTAAATCAATTTAGAATCAAAATAACTCTCCTGTGGTCAGTTTGGACAGGCAAAATTGGTAGGAACACTTCCAGCCAAAACCGTCTAAATATAGCCCACCAGAAAATCCAAAACTAAAAGGTTACTGGATCATAGATTTTACACAGAGTATTGGGTAAATAAACAAGTGTGTATGCTGTTCACTAAAAATTCTGCTCTGGTTGTAATTTTATAACGTCATGGCTTATAACAACGCCAACCTATCATGACACAATCTGGGTCAAGTGAACGTTTGTTCTAGCTAGACCCATAAGGAATTTCCGCAAATTAAACCGTTTGTTTGTTTAAATGGTAAATTAAGGTGTAACATTTGTTCAAAACCATCCCATGAATCCTAACTTGTACGGAATATCCCTTTAATAATGTTCCTGTACTTCTGCTTTCTCTTCTTTCATAATACAAAAGTATAGGTAATGATATCACACTTTTTTTAACGCTGGATATTTTTAAGTGTTCTGTTTTTGGTATACAGAGTCACAATAAATTGTAGCAAACCTAAATCAGAATTTTTCAGACCAATCAGAAATGTCATTATCCGTGACAGACAAGAACACAGACCTTGTACACTATTATTCTCAAGATGTTTCAAGCTGGTTTTTCAATTTTTTTTTGTTTGTTGTAATTCCAAAATTATTAATAATAAATTAAATAATATATTAACTAAAATAATATAATAATAATAATAATAATAATAATAAATAATAATGATTTATCAATAAAAATTCAATACAGTGAAACCAGACAACACTGACACAGTCAGCATCAATAAACGGTGAACACAAACAATTAAGTCTTTATTTTTCACAAAGTCTTTTTCATCCTTAAATGGAGGATGCCATGATCTTTACATTAATTTGGTCAATACTTGGCCATATACATGTGAAGTTCACATTTACTGTAAATGGTCAAGTTTACTTAACAAAGATCCTATGAAGAGTTGATTGTTTTTTCTAAGATGGTTTTTTTATAACTATTATAGAAAACTGGTGTCATGTAACACTCCCACTTTTTCAGGTTGGGATCGCCTTTGCACTCTGCAAGCTTTCTGATCTTGTCTCATGTTTTCAGAAAGTCCAGGTGTGTTAGTAAACAATTGTATTGGAACTGTCATTCATAAATACTTCAGTGCTTTGTATTTCATGCAGGTAACACTTGTGTAGCTTTCACAGTTGAGGAGAGATTAGCTGACATACTACAGTTTACACAACTGCAGCAATGATGCATGTTCGATATTTCAGGTAATTTGTAAAGCCTATTTGCATATTTAAATAGGAAAATTATGTAAATCTTGAAGTGACAGTGATCCAACTTAACAGTCCCCGATAACTGACTTATATTTAGTGAAGGAAAATGTTTGGGAGGCAAACAATATGTAAGATAAGTGTGTCAGATTTGTCAGATGTCAGAATTGTCAAGTTCCACTGTAGTTTTTTTGGCATTGAAATATAATTGTGACTGAAATTTGAAGCTACAGGTAAACAAGCAAACTTCTTACAGGCTGGTTAACTACTGGTGGCAGTCAAAGCTGATAAAAATATCTCAGGCTTTTCTTGTGTGCTAATAGACCTTAAGCTAATTGATTAGTCCATTACCAAATAAGGTAACATGAAAGATGTAACTTCAAATATTACATTCAAAGTAAAAGTGTATCTGTTTCAAAGATTTATGTTTTGTTAAAACAGATTCAGCTGGTGACCAGACAGTAAGTGTTGGTTTTACATGCAATTGTAAAAGTAATTCTAAAATTCCTGGAATAGGCTACTGATTTTTACATAACAGTTGAATTTCAAAATGATCAAACATGAACACTTTACCAGAACTATTTTGTCAATGGTGATATTGTTTTTACCACTATTGTGGCCTAACTGTTTCAATGCATACAACTACTTGATGCTCTCGGAGTAATCTTGGGTTAAAGAGAAGCTCACTGGAAATGGAAAACGCAAGGTGTATATTGGTGGTATCTTTTAATTAAGTTATGTTAAAATTTTACAATTTAAATTTTGGTGATATAAATGACGACCTGCTAAATTAAAGCTGCACAAAAGTTCCCTCCTATATGGTACTGATATTTAACAGCACAGATATAGGTTAGCTTTAATAGCAAGAGCTGATAGCAAATACAACCAAAGGAATCAGTCATTTCACTTACAATGAATTGCTGAAGGACAAATAGGTCTTGGTTGTCAATTCTCAGGAATGGAAATCTGGCCTTGAATTCGGTTTCTGATGTTAAAGCACTGGGCCCATTGTTCTCAAAGTCAAATTTGTGTGTGACAAGCTTCACATCAGTTTCCTCTTTGGTAACGTAGATCTCGGGAATGGAATTGCTGAAGATGAATGCAAAAATAATCAATACAGTACTTAACATGTCATAATAGTCTACAAAAACAAAACACTTCTCCAGAAATAGGCATGTGTTGAAATTTAAGAGTTTCTAAATATAAATATTTCCTTCGTGAAATATTTCCAAGTAAAGGAAGATTTCCACCTGGGCAAACTTATCTAAATATCACATGAGCTGTAATGGTTTGGTTGTAAGTTTGTTTAAAAATAAGATCATAATTTTTAAAATGTTTACATATACCATTACAGTTCCTGATAAAATGTTTACATATACCATTACAGTTCCTGATCAACGAAAAAAATGATTGTTCTTTTACCCTCTGAACTCCTCGTAGACCTTTGACCTCACACTGACAGAGATGATTTGTTGGTTGTTTCCAGGATTAGTATCTGTGCTAATAGTGTGCCCTTCAACTTTAATTACAAAGTCCTTTACTGGAGCTTTAGAGGCCTCAAATTTCAAATTAAAATATTTGCCTCCATTAGCTTTCAACACTTCAGGAATTTGACACACCAGCTGTTTGGATGAACTTGTGTAACATGCGACATCTGCTGGCTCTGACATAACAAAGTCAATGTATTCTGGAACCTCAATCTCGGCAAACGGTGAATATGCCCAGTCTGCACCTTTATTCTCCATCTGAACATCTAACTCAAACTTGGCGTCTTCTCCGACAATTAGGTCTGTATCTGGATGTGTGAATTTAGCTTTGGCGTTGACATTTATATCGACTTGGCAGACATTATCTTCTCCACATCCTGGTCTCTGTAGCGCCAACTATAATGTCAGAAAAACATTCAATCTTGCTTCACAGAATCCAATCTTTAGAAAATAAACATTGGTTGATGTCTCATCTCCAGTAACGATTACAGTGCTATGAATGCCATCGGATATTATTAACTATATAAATACCTAACTACCTCCCTACTGAATCCTGTAAGATATGTTTGGGTTTTGTGTTCCATTGGATGAGCTCATGGTTGGACAAAAGTTATTAAAACATCTGCCTATTACATTGTTTCTGATAGAAGAACTCTGTGATGATTGTCTCTTAAACTTTGCTCCATTAAATGTGTTTGCTGTTGGACAGATGTTGCTTATACACCTGCTTACCTTGTCGTTCACAGCACTATGAATGCCGCTAGTATATATACATGCCTGACCTACCTCTTTATTGAATCCTTGAATGGTTGGGTTCGCCTGTGCACCATTGAATGTGTTCACTGTTGGACACACATTATTTTTACATCTGCTCACAATATCATTCCTGATGTTGTAGGTAGTGGAAAATACTACTGGCACAAACAGGTCTGTATGTGACTGTAAACATGACAATAAATAACATACATTTCTATTCTTATACTTATTCACATCTTAAGACATTTCCCTTCCCAATCTTAATAAAAAGCAAGAAAATGACTATAAGACATGAAATCCCTTCCTCCCACACATATACATTATTGATATTTGACTTTCTATAAACAGTAATGGTGACATTGATCTTTGAACCCTGAATTGCCATGAGAAATGAAGTTACTATAGCAATGAAATTGATTCAGAATGGGACAAGTTGGGTCAGACTTTACTTTATAGACCCTTGACCCCAGCCATGCTTTCCTATCTATTTCCTTAGGCATCTTAAAAACTTCCATAATACTGTGACAAGAATCTCTTATAAAGATTTATCTACTTTATGGTTTTAAGTACGCTACATCATATTCAATCTAAAGATTACTTGGTAATAACAATATTATATGTCTACTGCTCTGGATCTTTTCTATAATTATGTATACAGGGAAGTGTTATTTTGTTACTTTAACTAAAAAAAATTTTCTTTTTCATCCACAATGTTTAATTCACTGTTAAATAGATAGTAAAACACCCACACAATATATGACATGATATGATGCCTGATCCCATTAGCATATCTTAGGATTCAGAGGGTGATATATTTCAGTTTTTGACCTGGAAGTTCGACAAGTGTGTAAAGAAAGATCTGATTTTTTAATACACATGCTTGAATTCGAGGAAATAGTATTACAAAAATTTAGGTAACTAGTGCTACAAGATTGAAGGTTACTAGTGCTATGAGAGTTTTGGTAAATAGTGATAGGTGAGTGATAGTAACTGTGATAGGAGAGTTGGGTAACTAGTGATAGGAGAGTTGGGTAACTAGTGATAGGAGAGTTATAATAACTAGTGATATGAGGGTTATAGTAACTAGTGATAGGAGAGTAGGGTAACTAGTGATAGGAGAGTTATAGTAACTAGTGATAGGAGAGTTGGGTAACTAGTGATAGGAGAGTTATAGTAACTAGTGATAGGAGAGTTTAGGAGAGTTGTAACTAGTGATAGGAGAGTTATAGTAACTAGTGATAGGAGAGTTATAGTAACTAGTGATAGGAGAGTAATAGTAACTAGTGACAGGAGAGTTATAGTAACTAGTGACAGGAGAGTTATAGTAACTAGAGATAGGAGAGTTATAGTAACTAGTGATAGGAGAGTTATAGTAACTAGTGATAGGAGAGTTATAGTAACTAGTGATAGGAGAGTCGGGTAACTAGTGATAGGAGAGTTATAGTAACTAGTGATAGGAGGGTTAAAGTAACTAGTGATAGGAGAGTTATAGTAACTAGTGACAGGAGAGTTATAGTAACTAGTGATAGGAGAGTTATAGTAACTAGTGATAGGAGAGTTATAGTAACTAGTGATAGGAGAGTTATAGTAACTAGTGATAGGAGAGTTATAGTAACTAGTGATAGGAGTGATAGGAGAGTTATAGTAACTAGTGATAGGAGAGTTATAGTAACTAGTGATAGGAGAGTTAACTAGTGAGGAGAGTAACTAGTGATAGGAGAGTTATAGTAACTAGTGATAGGAGAGTTATAGTAACTAGTGATAGGAGAGTTATAGTAACTAGTGATAGGAGAGTTATAGTAACTAGTGATAGGAGAGTTGGGTAACTAGTGATAGGAGAGTTATAGTAACTAGTGATAGGAGAGTTATAGTAACTAGTGATAGGAGAGTTATAGTAACTAGTGATAGGAGAGTTATAGTAACTAGTGATAGGAGAGTTATAGTAACTAGTGATAGGAGAGTTGGGTAACTAGTGATAGGAGAGTTATAGTAACTAATGATAGGAGAGTTATAGTAACTAGTGAGAGGAGAGTGGGTAACTAGTGATAGGAGAGTTATAGTAACTAGTGATAGGAGAGTTATAGTAACTAGTGATAGGAGAGTTATAGTAACTAGTGATAGGAGAGTAACTAGTGATAGGAGAGTAACTAGTGATAGGAGAGTTATAGTAACTAGTGATAGGAGAGTTATAGTAACTAGTGATAGGAGAGTTATAGTAACTAGTGATAGGAGAGTTATAGTAACAAGTGATAGGAGAGTTATAGTAACTAGTGATAGGAGAGTTATAGTAACTAGTGATAGGAGAGTTATAGTAACTAGTGATAGGAGAGTTATAGTAACTAGTGATAGGAGAGTTATAGTAACTAGAGATAGGAGAGTTGGGTAACTTGTGATAGGAGAGTTATAGTAACTAGTGATAGGAGAGTTATAGTAACTAGTGATAGGAGAGTTATAGTAACTAGTGATAGGAGAGTTATAGTAACTAGTGATAGGAGAGTTATAGTAACTAGTGATAGGAGAGTTGGGTAACTAGTGATAGGAGAGTTATAGTAACTAGTGATAGGAGAGTTATAGTAACTAGTGATAGGAGAGTTATAGTAACTAGTGATACGAGGAGAGTTATAGTAACTAGTTAGAGTAACTAGTGATAGGAGAGTTATAGTAACTAGTGATAGGAGAGTTATACTAACTAGTGATATTTTATTAACTTGAGTTGTGTAACTAGTGATAGGAGAGTTATAGTAACTAGTGATAGGAGAGTTATAGTAACTAGTGATAGGAGAGTTATAGTAACTAGTGATAGGAGAGTTATAGTAACTAGTGATAGGAGAGTCGGGTAACTAGTGATAGGAGAGTTATAGTAACTAGTGATAGGAGAGTTATAGTAACTAGTGATAGGAGAGTTATAGTAACTAGTGATAGGAGAGTTGGGTAACTAGTGATAGGAGAGTTATAGTAACTAGTGATAGGAGAGTTATAGTAACTAGTGATAGGAGAGTTGGGTAACTAGTGATAGGAGAGTAGGGTAACTAGTGATAGGAGAGTTATAGTAACTAGTGATAGGAGAGTTATAGTAACTAGTGATAGGAGAGTTGGGTAACTAGTGATAGGAGAGTTGGGTAACTAGTGATAGGAGAGTTATAGTAACTAGTGATAGGAGAGTTATAGTAACTAGTGATAGGAGAGTTGGGTAACTAGTGCTATGAGAGTTGGGTAACTAGTGATAGGAGAGTTATAGTAACAAGTGATAGGAGAGTTATAGTAACTAGTTATAGGAGAGATTTGGTAACTAGTGCTATGAGAGTTGGGTAACTAGTGCTATGAACTTAATACCACACACCTGTACTATGACAGTATACGGAGGTAGGACACAGGTTTGCGTTAATGATCCTTGTACGGTCTTACTTCCATTGATGTTGTAACCACCACTCTCTAAAACGACTCTTCTGTGTTTTCCGATCGCGTTGGTATCAACATCTACCATAAACTCCACATCTGAAAGCAAGGTACAAAACACACTTACATTTAACCTTAAGTCTCTATAGCATGGACAGTGTAGACAAAACACAGCTTAATTTTATATAGAAAACAGAGTCAAATTTTACCTTAAGTTTCCACTGCATGGACAGCATAGAAAATAGGCGATGCAATATATACCCATCCCATACCAAAGGAATATTTATGATTTAATGTCTCGAAATGAACACAAATAACAAAATAATAAGTCACAATGTCTTCGATATAGTGAATACAGTGTTATATGGATTAATGATTAATTAAAGAACATAAAAGTTTTAAAGAGGTTAGTTAAAAACAAGAGAAATCTCTGGATTATAACATATAGTGTTAAATCATAATCTCAAAAACTGAGGAAGGATCTTTCTGCACAAAATTGAAATGCTACAAAAACAAAGGAAAATGACTTAATAAAAAATTGTTGAATCAACCCACTGTGCAAGAAAATAGCATTTCTTTTCGGTTATAAAGTTTAAAAGTTGGAAAGAAAGACAATATTAACATTATAAAAACAAGTGGCAATAATTCTTCTGGATACAGTCAAATCAATCTGCCATTCAGGAAAAAATGATATCAGGTCACAATGATTAAGCCTACCGAGTAAGACAAATATTGGCTGAAAACTGTCGGAGAAAACCTCCGCACAAATAAAAGTTTAGGACGGCCAGCTTGCAACACCATTCCAAAATACATCCCATCTATTTTTCTGATGGGCATATAAAAATCCTGGTTTTACTATTATAGGTTATTGATACTGTATGTAAAATGATGGCAGATTTTAAACATGTATTATAATGATAGATCTGATTTTACAGAAATGGCTAGGGGTCATGATCATGAAGCCAAATTTCTATGGGATGAAACGGTATCCTGAATATAGAGTGCAAATTTTACCTGCTTCACTGGGGAGGCCTTTTCCCCCATATGAAAAGCAGAGTTTCACTGTGAACTTTTCTGTGTCCTCCATTATAATGTCGTTAGTTATTGTGTCACCTATCATCATAGTAACCTGCATGTTTATGGTTGGTTGGGAAAACATTAACACTGCCTTGTCAGACATAAATGCTCCAATCAGAGTATCTGAAAACAAATAAAATAGTAAATTACACAGAAATGTTTTTGTTTTCAAAGAGATCATTCTGTTTAAAGATGAAATAAAATCATGAGGCAATATTACTGGACAATGACCATAGATTCCATAGTAACTTGCAATATTACAATATTACTGGACAATGACCATAGATTCCATGGTAACCTGAAATATTACTGGACAATGACCATAGATTCCATGGTAACCTGAAATATTACTGGACAATGACCATAGATTCCATGGTAACCTGAAATATTACTGGACAATGACCATAGATTGCATAGTAACATATAATATTACCAGACAATGACCATAGACAATATTACTGGACAATGACCATAGATTGCATAGTAACATATAATATTACCGGACAATGACCATAGATTCCATGGTAACCTGAAATATTACTGGACAATGACCATAGATTCCATGGTAACCTGAAATATTACTGGACAATGACCATAGATTCCATGGTAACCTGAAATATTACTGGACAATGACCATAGATTCCATGGTAACCTGAAATATTACTGGACAATGACCATAGATTCCATGGTAACCTGAAATATTACTGGACAATGACCATAGATTCCATGGTAACCTGAAATATTACTGGACAATGACCATAGATTCCAAATTAAAAATAAATTAAACAAAACAACTGAGAAATATACAAAAAGAATATACTCCTGCAAAATACTAAACATGTTCTCAGGGTCGATCATGTTTATGTACAATTCAACACATTCAAAACATGTCTTATCTGATAAATCTGTTCTCTGAACATGTTTCAACATCAAACATTTTTATAACTATGCAGCTAGAATATAATACATTGAGAGAGCCAACATTTCTGGTTAGATACAACGTGGTATTCACTAGAGATCCTGGCTATGTGGCAAATATGTTGATACATGTTAAGTATCTATACAAACACACTATACAAATGAAGTCTTAGTGTTATTACAATTCAACTATTATCATTTCTCAACCATGATGTGTTTTTTTCTTTATATCTAAAACATGTTGAAACATGTTTTAAGTATTTGCATCTCAGACAAGTATTTACATTAAAAAAAAAACTCAAACTAGAGAAATACATCATGAACAACACATGTAAGTACTGTCACAATACAGAAGTGGGAGTAACAAAGTCATACCAATTAACATCAAAACTAGTGTGAATGGACATCATACAACAAGAGTGTTTAACATACAATAATAACATCCAAACTAGTGTGAATGGACATCATACAACAAGAGTGTTTAACATACAATAATAACATCCAAACTAGTGTGAATGGACATCATACAACAAGAGTGTTTAACATACAATAATAACATCCAAACTAGTGTGAATGGACATCATACAACAAGAGTGTTTAACATACAATAATAACATCCAAACTAGTGTGAATGGACATCATACAACAAGAGTGTTTAACCTACAATAATAACATCCAAACTAGTGTGAATGGACATCATACAACAAGAGTGTTTAACATACAATAATAACATCCAAACTAGTGTGAATGGACATCATACAACAAAGTGTTTAACATACAATAATAACATCCAAACTAGTGTGAATGGACATCATACAACAAGAGTGTTTAACATACAATAATAACATCCAAACTAGTGTGAATGGACATCATACAACAAGAGTTTAACCTACAATAACAAGAGATCCCAGAGGGATCTTGGTGCCCACTATTTGAGGATCTGTATTCAGTTCTTGAAGATTTGTTTATTTTTTTTGTTTGTTACAGGTGTTGTAAATGTTCATGAACTGGTCTTCATTGAATGTACTCAATGATGGCACAAGATATTTTTATTAAGCACCTATTAGCAAATATCATTTGAAAAAGATCCAAAAGTATTATTAGATAGCAGTCAGTTACAGGTGGATAATGGACAATATGCTTGTGCTGTATTACTGTTGACATCCAAGATGGCTGCCTGTGGGCCACCTTGATTTCAAATCAGTCCAAAAAAGGTACAATGCACAACTAGGGACCAAGGGAAACCAATATCTATGAAATATCAGAAGGATCCATCCAGTACTTCCTCAGATATAGCGGTAACAAACTTTTACATCCAAAATCCAAGATGGCCACCTGTCAGCCATCTTGATTTCGGATCAGTCCAAAAAGGTATAATGCACAACTTGGAACCAAAGGGAACCTGCATATGAAATTTGAGAAAGATCCATCCAGTACTTTCCAAGAAATAGCGGTAACAAACTTTTACATCCAAAATCCAAGATGGCCACCTGTCGGCCATCTTGAATCAGTCCAAAAAAGGTACAATGCACAACTAGGGACTAAGGGGAAACTGCATATGGAATTTGAGAAAGATCCATCCAGTACTTTCCAAGAAATAGCAGTAACAGACTTTTACTTCCAAAATCCAAGATGGCTGCCTGTCGGCCATCTTGAATTCGAATCAGTCCAAAAAAAGGTACAATGCACAACTTACCATAAAAGGCATCATCGTTGTACAGAAAGGGCTTTGAGATGGCTGCTCCGAAAGTCCTTAGACTTGGATTTATGTCCCTTCCTCGTAACTTTTGTGTCTCTTTGGGCCAGAATCCACCGTGATATCCATTGTATACGTACACAACACCACGTCCTTCATCCTCGTATGGAGCACCAATAGCAATGTCTGCAGAATGTAATATTATCAACTTAGAAAACATTGTTCCATTACAACTTCATTTCACTAGTAATTAATACAAAGAGGACTTTTCACACTTGGCAGGTTTATTATGATTAAAATTTGATGTCAATTTGATTACTAATATAATCATAAAGAGATCCTCTGTATGTAATCTAAAAAAGTTCATAAATGTTTGCAGTAAGTCCTGGAAAAAAACACAATATACCTTACTCACAGTCAGGGGTGGGCTAATAACAGCACCGGGAGAGGCCAGCACAATATACCTTACTCACAGTCAGGGGATGGGCTAATTACAGTACTGGGAGAGGCCAGCACAATATACCTTACTCACAGTCAGGGGTGGGCTAATTACAGCACCGGGAGAGGCCAGCACAATATACCTTACTCACAGTCAGGGGTGGACTAATAACAGGATTGGGAGAGACAAGTACATCAATACATACTTAAAGTAAGGGGAAGTTTGAATTTAACCCTTTTGGCGCCAATTATCTCTTACAATGTACAGCTCAGCTCCAAATATTTTCCAGAAAATATCCGAAAACAATGGCAGCATTACTGAAACAAGCATATCTTCGCTAATAATAAAGATATAAAAATTGTCGACCAAAGTCGCCTACGGCGCCGAAAGGGTTAAAGTAAGGGAAAGTTTGAATTTATAAGTTATTCTTCTGAAAGTAATAAACATGATAATGTAGGTTTATACAGTCTAACTGATAATGAGTATATTTAACCTCTATCTAACTGATAATGAGTATCATAAACCTTTGTCTAACTGATTACAAGTATAATAAACCTGTGTCTAACTGATTACAAGTATAATAAACCTGTGTCTAACTGATTACAAGTATAATAAACCTGTGTCTAACTGACAACAAGTATAATAAACCTGTCTAACTGATTACAAGTATAATAAACCTGTGTCTAACTGATTACAAGTATAATAAACCTGTGTCTAACTGATTACAAGTATAATAAACCTGTGTCTAACTGACAACAAGTATAATAAACCTGTCTAACTGATTACAAGTATAATAAACCTGTGTCTAACTGACAACAAGTATAATAAACCTGTCTAACTGACAACAAGTATAATAAACCTGTCTAACTGATTACAAGTATAATAAACCTGTGTCTAACTGATTACAAGTATAATAAACCTGTGTCTAACTGACAACAAGTATAATAAACCTGTGTCTAACTGATTACAAGTATAATAAACCTGTCTAACTAACAACAAGTATAATAAACCTGTGTCTAACTGATTACAAGTATAATAAACCTGTCTAACTGACAACAAGTATAATAAACCTGTGTCTAACTGATTACAAGTATAATAAACTTGTGTCTAACTGATTACAAGTATAATAAACCTGTGTCTAACTGATTACAAGTATAATAAACCTGTCTAACTGACAACAAGTATAATAAACCTGTGTCTAACTGATTACAAGTATAATAAACCTGTCTAACTGATTACAAGTATAATAAACCTGTGTCTAACTGATTACAAGTATAATAAACCTGTGTCTAACTGATTACAAGTATAATAAACCTGTCTAACTGATTACAAGTATAATAAACCTGTGTCTAACTGATTACAAGTATAATAAACCTGTCTAACTGACAACAAGTATAATAAACCTGTGTCTAACTGATTACAAGTATAATAAACCTGTCTAACTGATTACAAGTATAATAAACCTGTGTCTAACTGATTACAAGTATAATAAACCTGTGTCTAACTGATTACAAGTATAATAAACCTGTGTCTAACTGATTACAAGTATAATAAACCTGTGTCTAACTGATTACAAGTATAATAAACCTGTGTCTAACTGATTACAAGTATAATAAACCTGTGTCTAACTGATTACAAGTATAATAAACTTGTGTCTAACTGATAAGAATTTTTACCGTAGTAAGTGTCTCCATTTATATCATTAAGACTAGAAACAGCCGTTCCATATCGGGCTCCATCTGATTGACTTCCGTTAAATGTTTGGGTGAGCAACATCTTTCCCTGAATTAAGGAGGATAACAGTAATGTAGGTGTGCTACATAGTATCTTGTCACATGTATATCATAGTGTACAAATCAAGAAAGGATGGTCAAATCAAAAACAAAATTGAAACTTAAAAAATTCTTCTCGCAGAAATGAGAGATATGAAAAATAGGACTGTTCTAAACACTACTTGATCTGCTATAGAATAGTGAAAGCATGTAAAAAATATGTAGTTTTAATTTGAAAAGGAACTAAACAAAAACGTAAAATATTAAAACTAAATGCTATTGCGTAATGACAGGATGAAACAGTTTACAAAGAAGATGTGTTCTAATGGAATCTTAGGATTCACTGTAAAATATCCACAATTTCTCTCCATATTATCTCTCATGAAATAAGAACTATATACATAATTAAATCTGAGAATTTGTTGTTATATAATCTGAATTACAAATAGGCTTACAGCATCAGGGTCATATCTGTAGATGTAAACTTTGCCGATCTCTCCGTTAATGTTCCAGTTATTTCTGTTGTAAGCAGAATACATAGGGGCTCCCACCAGTAAGTACTCTGGCTCACCAGCTTTTAGAGGCGTGGTCGCAAGAGCTGACCCAAAGTAGCTCCCTACCTGTGAGCAGTACATTATTATCATTAAATACAAATTCTCATTCATTCAAGATGCAAACAATACATTTACAATGCAGCTCATTGTTATTTTTTACTTTGCCTGCGCTGATGTGAATTTCAATTGTGGAAACTACATATTTTACTTAGAGCATAAACTTAGCTAACATGCTACAAAAAAGATAAGTAGTAACCCCAATTTAAATCCACTTTGATGCACATACATAAATAACCATCCTTTAATTTATGTTTGGTAACTGTAAAACATAAAATAAATAACCCTATACTTGAAGTTCAATCCCCTCTCCCCAACAAAATATCATGAAAACATATACACATATACAACTTTAGAGTAGACACAGATCAGAGTGAATCTGATCCTCTTACCTGTTCACCAGGCAGCTGTTGTATCAGATCAAAGTTGTTTGTCTTATCCTTCAGAATTTTAACCTGAGAAAAAAACCCAGAAATTTTTAGAATTGTATGGTACGATCAACAGCTTTAACAGTAACCTAGTGCATCAATGATTATAGACAAAAGCATCATTTACCTGTCCTTGACATGGCACTCTAACAAATAAAAAAAGGTTGACAAATTGAAGAATGAAGTCATTCCTTTGGACAAGATGAACTATGTATCAGCAATATGACAATACACTAAAAATGAATTCCTCCATGACTTAAAATATTACTAAAGTTATTTTGTTATTTCCTAACAAAACATAAAATAATAACATCAATGAAAAATGAGACCTATGGTGTCAAAAAGATTTACAAGGTGTTTTACCTGACCAGTCATTCCATCACGAGGTCCACCTATAATCAAATTGAAAGCTTCACCTCCGTATAGCTTCCCGAACGTCAACGAATACCCGTACAGCTGACCCTCGGTCTGGCTCAGGTCACTGAAGTGTACTACATCAGTGGATTGGTCATAGTCAGTGCGTTTGACCACTCCCCCTGCCAACAGGAATGACTAATCAGTGAAATTTTATTATTACCTGTGTGTTTGACCACTCCCCCTGTAAATAATAATGACAAATCAGTGAAATTTTATAGCAGCCATTGTGTTTGACAACTCCCCTGTCAATAGGAATGACCGGTCAGTCAAATTTCATTGTAACTATTGTGTTTGACCACTCCCCTGTCAATAGGAATGACCGGTCAGTCAAATTTCATTATACCATGTGTGTTTGACCACTCCCCTGTCAATAGTTATGACCAATCAATCAAATTTTCATAATATTTTACAATAACAGGATTCTGTGTTACTGTATAACAATGTCGACCTGCTTCACACCTGAACCAACACAATCACTCTGAAGTCTGAAAACTGTATTGGTAAGATTTAAAACTGAGCATGTGCAGCATGAGGATATCAATTACAAAAGGCAAAGGAAAGCTAAAAAAATTAGGATACCGGTGATATCAGTCACAAAATTTCCAAATATAATTTAAAAAAAAACAACAGAATATAAGTCACAGAATTTAAAGTATAATTCACAAATGTAAGATACAATTTACAGATAGAATTTAGAATAAACAGTAATTCAAAAATTTAAAATACGATTCACAGAATTTAGAATATCATAATCCACAAAATTCAGTATTTAGGATTCAGAATACAGACTGCAAGTTCTATATTATTATATTGTATAACATATGTGGCCTGTATGACAAATGTTGCCTGTATGACAAATGTGGCCTGTATGACAAATGTGACCTTTATGACATATGTGGCCTGTATGACAAATGTGGCCTGTATGACATATGTGACCTGTATGACAAATGTTGCCTGTATGACAAATGTGGCCTGTATGACAAATGTGGCCTTTATGACATATGTGGCCTGTATGACAAATGTGGCCTGTATGACATGTGACCTGTATGACAAATGTGGCCTGTATGACATATGTAACCTGTATGACAAATATGGCCTGTATGACATATGTGACCTGTATGACAAATGTGGCCTGTATGACATATGTGACCTGTATGACAAATGTGGCCTGTATGACATATGTTGCCTGTATGATAAATGTGGCCTGTATGACATATGTGGGCTGTATGATAAATGTGGCCTGTATGACATATGTGGGCTGTATGATAAATGTGGCCTGTATGACATATGTGGGCTGTATGATAAATGTGGCCTGTATGACATATGTGGGCTGTATGATAAATGTGGCCTGTATGACATATGTAACCATTGAACCTACTTTTACAACACAAGAGTCACTTCAACTTACCTGTACTTTCATATATTCCAGGAGCTCCCATAGCCTTCTCAACTAACCGTGACTTACCCTGACAAAATACAGCAAGGATTGATTAAGATGATTGATGGTTGCATTTCTAATGGAAATACCAATAAACGTATGTTACATAATTGTCCATTATTGTATTGTTCTGGACAGCTGATATTTTTGTGGCCTATGATTTTGTGAAAAAGGTTACTAGTATTTTCATTTCATTATTTATAAATTTTAATGATTGTAATTTATGAAGATATAAATGTGTAAAACATTTAAGGTGCCTTTAAGTCTCCAAACACATTAAAACATTTCATTTCAGAAAAAACTACTTGTAAATAACAAAGATAAATACAGGATGTTAACATCTCTAAAAACAAAGAACACTCATCATATAAGTATCATTCCTGAGTCTGTATGTGAGTGCCAATGTAACAGAAGTCATTCTTATTTAAATGGATTCACTAGGATTCAAACCCCGAACCCCTAGCTTACTAGTCTGACGTTCCGACAATCGAGCTAAAGAGATTTTCTCTCTAGCCGAGCGGTATACTGCGGCTTGTATTTTACCAGTGCTACATGTGTACACTAGACACGATGTACTGCAATGTTACAAAAAGTTGCACCATAATTATATCTTCATCAGAAAATTAATTAATTGTGATTTTACTATCATCATGGAGACAAAGTAGAAATATGAATATACCAAAATATGGTTGTAACTCTTTTCATGGGCTCTTCTTGAAGTGGCATTAGAAAGGCCAATAAATGATATGGTTTTGTTCACATATAAACCTGTCTCCCTAATCCTTGAGTCATGGTGTGGCATGGTAATTGAACTGATAAATTTGTGACTGTCACCAAGTAAGACAGGATACAGATACTGACATGCTTTTCTGTTTGATTCTACAGACTTACCGTGGGTGCGTACGCACAGGACATGCCCATAGCCCCAATACGATAAATAAGTTTATCGTTGACATCAACTTGCTTATCAGGATCATCTAGGTATTTTCGAGTCCTTGACTCATCAAAATCTCGTCCCATTTCAACACAAATTCCATTCATGCTAAAATTTTCATCATATGATCTCGTCCATCGGTGACCACACACCTGTAAACAAGTATTCAGAAATTCTGAATATTTTGTCACATAAAATGTTCCAGTTTTATAATAAATATGATGTTATAGAAATATTTGACCTGAGGTTGTAGTAGTGGACTATGTGTTATGTTATATATGTATCCCCTTGCAGTAATTGGTTGCTGCCTCATTGAACAATATGCAGATGGCCTGTCAAGGATACAATTGTGAAAGTTTGGTATGGGCGATGACCTCTAAACACTAGACACAGAGACCCGATGAAAAATAGATCAAACACAACAGACAGAGGGATCTGATGAAAAATAGATAAAACATGACAGACACAGGGACCTGATGAAAAATAGAGGGACCTGATGAAAAATAGATAAAACATGACAGACACAGGGACCTGATGAAAAACAGATAAAACATGACAGACACAGGGACCTGATGAAAAACAGATAAAACATGACAGACACAGGGACCTGATGAAAAATAGATAAAACATGACAGACACAGGGACCTGATGAAAAACAGATAAAACATGACAGACACAGGGACCTGATGAAAAATAGATAAAACATGACAGACACAGGGACCTGATGAAAAACAGATAAAACATGACAGACACAGGGACCTGATGAAAAATAGATAAAACATGACAGACACAGGGACCTGATGAAAAATAGATAAAACATGACAGACACAGGGACCTGATGAAAAATAGATAAAACATGACAGACAGAGGGACCTGATGAAAAACAGATAAAACACAACAGACAGAGGGACCTGATGAAAAATAGATAAAACATGACAGACACAGCGACCTGATGAAAAATAGATAAAACATGACAGACACAGGGACCTGATGAAAAACAGATAAAACATGACAGACACAGGGACCTGATGAAAAATAGATAAAACATGACAGACAGAGGGACCTGATGAAAAATAGATAAAACATGACAGACAGAGGGACCTGATGAAAAATAGATAAAACATGACAGACACAGGGATCTGATGAAAAACAGATAAAACATGACAGACACAGGGACCTGATGAAAAATAGATAAAACATGACAGACAGAGGGATCTGATGAAAAATAGATAAAACATGACAGACACAGGGACCTAATGAAAAACTAATAAAACACAACAGATCTTGAGACCTGAAGACCTACCAGTATAAATTGTTGTCCAACATCCAGTGACCCGCCCATCCAGTTATCAGATACGCTTTCTGAAAAGAAAAGAAAATATTTGCATTATATATTAAGTTTTTACTTCTATAAAAATCATACATTTAAGATAAAAATATTAAAACATTATGTGATTATTATAGTAAAGCATTAGTTGTTATAAAACAACAAGTACAATAAGTACAGAGGGACAACATATTGCTTCTTACTGACTCAAACTCAAGGGATGGGCTTATTACAGAGTCACAGTATCTTTTTTCTAGGCAGTAATATATGGTTGTAAACAGGCATGGGCTTATTACTTGATGAATGTAAACAAGACGGCCATGAGCCTTAACTGTCAACTGACATTTGACGAATGGATGGACAAACCACAGAATTTGCAGATAGTTGTCTGACAAATCTGATGAATTCAAATTTTGAACATTCCTTAAAAGTATTGGAAACTCATAAATGGTAAGTTCTGTGAATGAAAAACAGTTGAACCACCATGTTACAAAATAACTCTTGTGGTTACCATGTTGAAGTTTTGATCAGATTGAAAAGTAACAACAAATCATCACTTTCCTTTCTTTAAAAGATCAAACTCATTTCCTCAATGGTGTGAATAAAACTAGAAAAGTAGTTCAGACTATTTGTTCTAGATGAGTTATGTTGGATTTTTGACCAAAGCGCAAAAATAAAAAGTTGATCAGGACAATATCAGGATCACTTCAAGCATGTTTGATATCATTGCCACACCATAATAATATCTTGGGCCAAATCTGGTTGAAATCTACCTAGGCATTAAGAAGCAGTAAAATTTTGACCAACTTTCCCATTTAGGGACCTGCCCAGCCCCTGGTCCCTAGGGGTCGAATCAACTTTTTGAATCCCAAGAAATGATAACACACCTGCAATAATATTTCAGGTGAAACTGGGATGAAATCTACCCATGCATTAAGAAAGAGAAGCTTCTGGAAACCCCTTTGGGGCCCCATCCCCAAGTCCCCACGGGTCAAATCAACTATCTGAATTTGAGAATTATTTGCCAACCCCTACTGACGTTACAGAGAAAATTTGAAAGAAATCCATTCAAGCATTAAGCAAAGTATTGGTCAATTCTCTTGTGGGGCCCCACCCTCAGGTCTTTAGGGGTGGAATCAACTTTCTGGATTGAATGAATAATTTGTAAAAAAAAAAAAGTATCACTATCTGCCAGTTATAAAATGAATTCCTCCATGAAATAATGTTGTGTATATGTCACTAGTTTAATATAATCTGGAACACCAGTCTGAAATCAATTGTGATGTCATAATATGAACAGTGACATTACACCATAAATAAACAAGAGGCCCATGGGTCTTAAGGGTCATCTGAATATAGAGACCTGTTTATGAAAGAGGCAAAATGGGCCTAAAAGTATAAAGGAGGAGTAGGGTTCTAAAGAAAAAGTTAATGCATGATGCACGGCGGATGGCGCATGACAGATGAAGCATGATGGCTTAGGTCCTCTTGACCATTCTGTTCAGATGACTTTAAAATGTGCAACAAAATGGCTGCTTCAATCTGATTTTGTCCTCCACTTTAACTTTTCAAAATGTAATTTGGGAGTTGTGTGATAAAAACTATCTCAAACTGGTTTTTATTTCATATGACATTTTATATCCTGAACTTTTGACTTTTGTTTGCCATGGCTTAAAAAAATGAAAATTTCTTAGACCTGTTTCATGAGAAACCTGTTAAGAACCTCTGTAAAGATCATTAAAGTACTATAATTTGTATGATAGTGTTTGTATCTATTGACACTCGTACATACCTATGTTGATATTAGAAATCATTTCACAGGATGGCTGTAGATCCTTCTGACATTTGTATAGTCCTCCAGGCTTCGATAACCCAGGGTATGACGAATCATTGGCTCGAGGGGCACCAATCAAAATCCTGCAAAGTAGGCAAAGTGTTTCAGTAACTAGCATGCCTGTGTTAAGAATATTTTCCACTGGATATTAACTTGGGCCAGATCAACATAATTGGGTACTAGAGTGCAACGTTCAATGCTGTTACCAGTGATGGTTTGTGTTTCTCTGAAAGCTAAGAAGTAGATCAATGTACTGCTGTTGTGGTTGTGTACTTGTGTAAGATGCTTTACCCTGGAGTGTATGTCCGCGGGCCTCCTGTATGTTGTTCAGAGAGGTAGCCACTAGCTTCTACAAGGAGACCTTGACTTTGAAATAGACTTGAATTGTTCACTCACAGAAGTCTTGGAGTATATGAAGAGTAGTGCTACATAATGCTGACATAATTTGCTGATGTCCCATGGAGATTTAGTTTACCCATCAAGAATCATAAGCCTTTATATGTATGTAATATTTATGGAAGATTAGTTCTGTCTCACTACACTTACATAAATGGCAGTAACCTGCTGAAAATAATTGATGCAATAATATTCCAGGACAGTTTCACAGAAAAAACTCTTGAACAACATGTGGTTATGAAACACTATGACCCGGTTTCAATGAAATTATGGGACATAAAAACCGTACTGTGTAAGGCATGGGCTAACTGCGTGGACACCTTGTGGAACATTGATGTCGTCGTTCTGGTAATGATTTGTTTTAATTCATTACAAATGTAGATCAAAGGTCTCCTTCAAGATCATATGGTAAAAAATTATGGTACCACAGGAAAGCTGTTCTCACAAGGAACATGCAAGCCAAATATGGAAGCCCTAACTCTTAACAGTGAACTAGTTATGGGCAATGTGAAAGGTGATAACAGACAAGCAGAAAGACAAAGAAACAGCACAATAACAGTATGTCCCAGATTTTTTTATTTGGGGGCACAAAAAGCATGAAAAGTTAATGACACACAGAAAAATACTATTAAATATATATTGAATAATTACTGCAGCTCAGCTACTGTACAATAAGAACACTGTAATCCAAGAAAAATGTCTTTTGCAGCAGTTTTCAGACTGCTTAAGGTGGTCTGATGATTAAAGGAATACACCAGTTTTACTACAGAGTTATGACCCCAGTATTACTTTAGGGTTATGACCTCAGTATTACTTTATAGTTATGACCTCAGTATTACTTTATAGTTATGACCCCAGTATTACTTTAGGGTTATGACCTCAGTATTACTTTATAGTTATGACCCCAGTATTACTTTATAGTTATGACCTCAGTATTACTTTGTAGTTATGACCTCAGTATTACTTTATAGTTATGACCTCAGTATTACTTTGTTATTATGACCTCAGTATTACTTTATAGTTATGACCTCAGTATTACTTTATAGTTATGACCTCAGTATTACTTTATAGTTATGACCTCAGTATTACTTTGTTATTATGACCTCAGTATTACTTTGTAATTATGACCTCAGTATTACTTTAGGGTTATGACCCCAGTATTACTTTGTAGTTATGACCTCAGTATTACTTTATAGTTATGACCTCAGTATTACTTTATAGTTATGACCCCAGTATTACTTTATAGTTATGACCCACCTATTACTTTAAAGTTATGACCTCAGTATTACTTTATAGTTATTACCCACCTTTTACTTTATAGTTATGACCTCAGTATTACTTTGTAATTATGACCTCAGTATTACTTTAGGGTTATGACCTCAGTATTACTTTGTAATTATGACCTCAGTATTACTTTAGGGTTATGACCCCAGTATTACTTTAGGGTTATGACCTCAGTATTACTTTGTAATTATGACCTCAGTATTACTTTATAGTTATGACCCCAGTATTACTTTAGGGTTATGACCTCAGTATTACTTTATAGTTATGACCCCAGTATTACTTTATAGTTATGACCTCAGTATTACTTTATAGTTATGACCCCAGTATTACTTTATAGTTATGACCCAGTATTACTTTAAAGTTATGACCTCAGTATTACTTTATAGTTATGACCCCAGTATTACTTTAGGGTTATGACCTCAGTATTACTTTGTAATTATGACCCCGATATTACTTTATAGTAATGACCTAAGTATTACTTTATAGTTATGACCCCAGTATTACTTTATAGCTATGACCTCAGTATTACTTTGTAATTGTGACCCCAGTATTACTTTATAGTTATGACCCAGTATTACTTTAGGGTTATGACCTCAGTATTACTTTAGGGTTATGACCTCAGTATTACTTTAGGGTTATGACCTCAATATTTCTTTAGGGTTATGACCTCAGTATTACTTTATAGTTATGACCTCAGTATTACTTTATAGTTATGACCTCAGTATTACTTTAGGGTTATGACCCCAGTATTACTTTATAGTTATGACCTCAGTATTACTTTATAGTGATGACCTCAGTATTACTTTATAGTTATGACCTCAGTATTACTTTAGGGTTATGACCTCAGTATTACTTTATAGTTATGACCTCAGTATTACTTTAGGGTTATGATCCCAGTATTACTTTATAGTTATGACCTCAGTATTACTTTAGGGTTATGACCTCAGTATTACTTTATAGTTATGACCTCAGTATTACTTTATAGTTATGACCTCAGTATTACTTTATAGTGATGACCTCAGTATTACTTTATAGTTATGACCTCAGTATTACTTTAGGGTTATGATCCCAGTATTACTTTATAGTTATGACCTCAGTATTACTTTAGGGTTATGATCCCAGTATTACTTTATAGTTATGACCTCAGTATTACTTTAGGGTTATGACCTCAGTATTACTTTAGGGTTATGACCTCAGCAGGGTTCGAAATTAACTATATGCAACTAGCAAAATTCCAGCTAAAATCTGGTAATTGCTAGCTGGAAAATAATGAACTAGCAAAATTTTGCGAGTGGAAATGAACTATACCTAATCACTATTTTCTCCTGACGCTGCTGATATAAAATCACCGCCACAACAACGTGCACATACAGCCACGTTAAAAACGGTACGGAAATGAGAAAAAGAATTGAATATTATTCTAGGATACAACAAATCATCTAGGAACGATGTTGTTAATACAGTATGGCGCAATGACTGGCGAGAACATGGAAGATAGTTGTCTTGATAATAATTTATTGAAATGATCGTTAATGTGAACAATTTTTTAAATAATATAAATTTGGGTACAGTTACATTTATAAATGGATCTGATCATATGACAGTCAGATTAGATGTAGCTCATACATGAAAAAAAGAAAACTGATAAATTCAAAATTATATAGATTTAAAATGTTGATACAGGTAGCAATCAGCCATTCTTATCCAATGTCTTGGATAACTTTTCCAATATCACTCAGTTCCTGAAAAACTCAATATAACAGTAAATAAAAGTCAAACCTATTCACCAAAAAATTGCCAGTTTGTTCATCATTTTTGCTAGTGGAAATTTTAGGCACTAGCAATGGTTTGCTAGTGCCTAAAACAATTAATTTCAACCCCTGCTCAGTATTACTTTATAGTTATGACCCCAGTATTACTTTATAGTTATGACCCCAGTATTACTTTATAGTTATGACCCCAGTATTACTTTAGATGATAATAGTAAAATGACCTGTAGTTCAGTCAGTTATATTTTATAATGCACAAAGGAGAGACACTAAATGATGACTACGGAAGTTTATACTGCACTATGGTGAAAGGAAATCCACACTCAGGATTAGAAATCCTGGTATAACAGCTGTCAACAACCATAACTGACAAAAACAGGTGGTCTTTATAGATAGATATCTGATACAGAGGTGGTCTTTATAGATAGGTATCTGATACAGAGGTGGTCTTTATAGACAGGCATCTGATACAGAGGTGGTCTTTATAGATAGATATCTGATACAGACGTGACCTTTATAGATAGATATCTGATACAGAGGTGGTCTTTATAGAAAAGTATCTGATACAGAGGTGGTCTTTATAGATAGGTATGTGATACAGAGGTGGTCTTTATAGATAGATATCTGATACAGAGGTGGTCTTTATAGATAGATATCTGATACAGAGGTGGTCTTTATAGATAGATATCTGATACAGAGGTGGTCTTTATAGATAGATATCCGATACAGAGGTGGTCTTTATAGATAGATATCTGATACAGAGGTGACCTTTATAGATAGATATCTGATACAGAGGTGACCTTTATAGATAGATATCTGATACAGAGGTGGTCTTTATAGATGGAATCTGATACAGAGGTGACCTTTATAGATAGATATCTGATACAGAGGTGACCTTTATAGATAGATATCCGATACAGAGGTGACCTTTATAGATAGATATCTGATGCAGACGTGACCTTTATAGATAGACATCTGATACAGAGGTGGTCTTTATTGATAGATATCTGATACAGAGGTGACCTTTATAGATAGATATCTGATACAGAGGTGGTCTTTATAGATATATATCTGATACAGAGGTGGTCTTTATAGATAAGTATTATAAACAGTTGACCTTTATAGCTAGGTATTTGATAATTTTGTATAGGTGACCTGTATAGACAGGTATTTGATAAGTAGGTAGCCTTTACAGCTAGGTATTTAATATTTTTGTATAGGTGACCTGTATAGACAGGTGCTTGATACTTGATGTATCAGAAGAGATACACATGTACCAGAAAAAGATACACATGTATCAGTAGAGATACACATGTACCAGAAGAGATACACATGTACCAGAAGAGATACACATGTACCAGAAGAGATACATATGTATCAATAGAGATACACATGTATCAGAAGAGATACACATGTATCAGTAGAGATACACATGTACCAGAAGAGATACACATGTATCAGAAGAAATACACATGTATCAGTAGAGATACACATGTACCAGAAGAGATACACATGTATCAGTAGAGATACATATGTATCAGTAGAGATACACATGTACCAGAAGAGATACACATGTATCAGTAGAGATACACATGTACCAGAAGAGATACATATGTACCAGAAGAGATACATAT